TTTTTCATACTTTGTTTATTTATAATAAATGGACAACTTATGCAAAACACTTTTCAACCTTTCATGTATGTTCCCATATCATATAAGAAGCTAAAAAACGCAAAAGACAAGAATCCCTCAAATATGAAATATTTCATGAAAATGTGAGAATAAATAGGTGGTAGGTATATACTTACCACTATACCTCAAAGGGTTAAGGTGGACCGATAGAGAGGACGTTTCGTAAAAACATCAGCGAGTAATCACTGATCTCCCGATCGTGGCCGATGGAGGCGAGATTCCGCCGCGAAATCTGCAGCGTACGAATTCGCTGCACCGAATTACCGCGATCTTCCGCCTTCACGGCGATTTGCATGTCGCCTCGCATGCGATGACATAACGGAAGCAGCGAGATTGACGGAAGCCGGCCGCGCCGCCGTATTAATTAACGCTCTCAGCGAAATTTTACTGCAGATTGCAGCGCGGAGATCTCGCAGTCGCAACTAATAGCCGAGCCACCAGTTGCGAGTATCGCGGCATCTCGGAGTGAAGAATGTGCCGATAGTGTTTCAAAGAAGTGCGCGCCCATTGGCCCATCGCGGATTTGGCAAGCGCGCAGCGACATGAACGAATGAGCCGAGGCGACGAGGAAGAAATCAAGAAACAGAAGCAACAGGGGTGACTCAACGATTTGCAAGCGATTTTGCAAAGATATCGAAAGAGAGCCTTGGCCTCTCCGGAGGCACTTCGGAACAGTGACGAGAAACTGGTGCGTCGTTCGTTTTCCCGACTCACGATCACCTCCGCAGATATCACCGGCCGAGGCAGTCCCTCGCACCGCGGATGGTTGCGTAGATGCATTTAGATCGAGATAGCGAGACAACACCGGCGAGCACCGGCTAATTATATTTTCATAATCGGGATCTTTCATGCGAAATCGGAAGATTGCTCTTTTTGCACTTGCTCTTTGTTTGCTCGCACTGCCGGCCGCTTGCCCGCCGATCGGAACAGTCGGTGGAGGAAAAGTTGCGACATCCTTGCCTCTCGATGAACTGCAGAGCGCTCATCGAGTGTCCGAGGAACGTAAAAGAATCTATCTGCTGCGAATGAGCAAAAGAGAAAATCTCCTATTGGATACACGCGAGAGAGTACTGCAGCTTCTTTTACATGGATTATTCTCAGCTTTATGTTTCGATAAATTCTTTTCCATTTTTAGTCTCAGTGTCTCTCAATAGCGCAAGAATAAACTGGGGTTTCCACTGAGAGACATGGTAAAATTTTAACGGCAAACTTCAGCCCCTGTTATACAAATAATAATAATGAGATAATAATAGTAACAATTGTATCAATGAAATAAATATTTTTTTTCCAGAGTCACAATTCGTCCTTTTAGGACAATAAGTAATTGTTATAAATAATACCGCACATAACATTTTACAATATTAGCGCAATGTTAACATGTAGAGCAGCTTTCATTGATGCTGCTCTTTCATTAAGCTCTACTTGTAATAGTTAGAAGTAGAATGTTGTATGCGGTAATAAAATAGATATCGCGTTAACGATTAATAGGATAGCAGTGAGAGATTAATAACGGCAAATGAAAATAATAAACGATCTCTCAGCGATGCTCGCGAGACTTTTAACATATTTGCGAATGTACTTTACTGAATTCATCGGATCTACTAATTTTAGTGGATGGATTAACCAGATTTATACTATATCCTAATATCTTTTAATTTCTACCAGACAATATATCTACGATGGAGTAATATTTTTATGTGGAGAATATTATAAGTTCGTCATAAATATTTCTCCCACTCCCCAAGTTTTCCCTATTTTCCACCAGCACGAGAATAGGCTGGCGGTAAAATTTATTTCCCTAAGAAGCAATACATTTTTCAACAGCACATTCCAATTCGTAAAGTGTAAATAACACACATAAGGCGGAAGAATAGCGAATCGAGACGGGATGTCAATGTGTTACTCGATAATAAAACTTTATAGCAACTTTCACTACAAAACCCTTTCCGTGAGATACTTTTTGTGCGTATGTGTGTGTGTGTTGCGAAATTTATTGAAAAAACGAGGTTGCAACGTTACGTACTACACTGATCGATCTTTGGAATATGAAGCTGCAATTGGAACGAGCGTCGCATGCGAGTTCTTTTTGCGTTCTGCATAATTGGCGTAATTGGTCGGAAATAGTTTTGCGGTGAATCCTCCGCGCATCGCCGATGAAAAGAGAATCGCGTGGAATCTCCGCGGAGATTCTCGATTTATCACAAATGAAAAGTAAGTAAATCTTCTTTTGTTATAACGGAAAAATGCTTGCTTTGTCAGCAAGTTAGAACACAGCCTCCGCTGTTGTCCTAACTTGCCGACAAGTAACGAGCAGAAACGTCAGAAGGGAAAGAGAATCAATTCGTCAACGCACTCTCGTAATCGCTCGAGAAAGGAGAAATTAGCGCGTTGTGAAGCGCTTAATAAATTGAGGAACCAGCGAAGATGCTACACAATATATGTGTATATGTTATGCTAATGATAAGTTGATTCCTGTGCGAAGGTTCGGTAAAAATGAAGAATGAAACGTCCTTTCCTTCGGAGACGGAGATAGTTTGAATTTTGATCGTTGAATAAAACATCTCCGAGATATGCAGATGCGTTGTGTGATTTTTCGCACATGTTGAACGAGCAGCGGCGAAACCACGTCGAAAATATGGAACAGGATGAATCTTTACGACGTGTCTCGGCTCATGCTTAACTTAAAAATATGGTAATATCTTAAATAACACTGTTAAAATCGTTATATCACGAAACGTGCTTTTCACTTCTATCTTTCATTTGTAGAATGCAACCTCCGCATAATTAGGCCTCGATCTCGGTGAAAACGACGAAGAAACCTCGTCTCAATTCCCAATGAGATGTGGTATTTTTGCAATCTATGTAATTATATGCATTACATATGCTTATACATGTTATATAATGTCTCAATATGCACACCACGAAAAAAGGATAATAAATTTAAAAGATTACCAAATAAATGTGTTAGTTTTGTACTGTAAGTATATCTAATACTTAATATTTTAAATAACTATTTTACTATCCAACATTGATCTTTATATTTATTAATATTTATTGATAGTACTTAATAATATCTGATATTTATACCAATTATTACAATTATACGTTATATTTGTACAATTTATAACAATATCTGCTAGGTGGATCTATTAGGTTGATGCAAAAATAATGCGATTTTTATCATTTTAAGTTTGGCGCCGATTTTTCTAATTACCGTTATCTTTTCCAGAATTCTATCTTGTAGGAATGAACAAACTTGTTTCCCGTTGGGAGAAATGTGTGTGCCGGTCGATGGTCTTTATTTTGATTAATAAATCTAATTTTTAACTGATACATGCCTCTATATTCGATTCGTAAAAACCGCAATTATTTTTGCGCTAATCTAATATCATAGACTGATATTCTTTACAAGGAGAATATTATCATCAGCCCTGAATTTTTAAGTGAATTTTTAAGGAATATGTGCAAACCAATGGTGTTTAGTTTGATTAATAAATATAATTTTTAACCGATATGTACGTCTTTATATTCGATATATAAAAACCGCAATTATTTTTGCACCAACCTAATGTTATAGACTGATATTCTTTATAAGGAGAATATTATCATCAGCCCTGAATTTTTAAGTGTGAAAACGAGAGAGAGGGAGAAAGAAAAAGAGAAAGAGAGAGAGAGAGAGAGAGAGAGAGAGAGAGAGAGAGAGAGAGAGAGAGAGAGAGAGAGAGAGAAAGAGAGAGAGAGAGAGAGACTGTTTGCCGCTAAGAGACTCAGTTAAAAGAACCGACACGTCGTATTAGCATCCATCATGACCCACACGAGAAATGCATTATACGTTCGCTTTTGTGCAATTATCTACAGAGACATCGTTCGATGCAAATTAGCGGAAATTTACATCTAATGACTTGTTTCGTCAGAAAAAATAAGGTTTCATTTTTTGCGACGCGAGTAAAAACGATGATTAGAGACGTATGGATGGACATCATAAATAGCAATCACGAAGGTATCTTTGTAATTATTAGCGACAGCTTCGGACAATATTACCAGCTAAGCTAAGCAGTTACCAGTTTGTTAACAGAGATATATATATTACCCGTGTGGATTTCAATAAACAATATTGCCGCAATTCTTATTATCGGATAGCTGTTTGATATCCTCGGCCGTTGAATCGAACGTTCTCTCATAATCATTCATCCTTCGATCGCTCGAGGTTTCACTCGAGATGCCTCAAGGATTACGTACTATGACACGCATTATCTACAATAAATCACGTGCGCGTGGTTTGATCAACGATTCAATGTGTAATTGTTGATTCCATTGATATGAAGTCCCAGCACTTCCTGTCTGAAAGAAGGATACGTTTCTAATTGCGATGTAAACGATTTGGTAAAAAAGGGTGGAAAAAACGCAACGGAGAACCCGGTAAGAAAAACAGTGGAAATGAGATAAGAGGAAGATAAAAAGGATTCGATTGAAAATATCCTGTTTGTTGTACGAGATGCTAAAGTGCGAGCCGACAGGATCCGCAGGTGTACACACGACCGCCATTTTTGCACGCCATTATTACGATCATTGTTCATTACTACGCGATTCATATTATTACGTGTCACCGATGCAGATTTGACCTCGAGGTCGCTCGCGCGGAGGAGGAGGAAGCGGAAGGGCTCGCGGGGAAAATTCCGAGGTACATTCCCACAGAAAGGGTTTTCGTGAAAGTCCTCGACACCCAAAATTCGTACCTTGTCATCACGCGAGTGACACGAGCGCATCAGTCGGACTTCGTCGGCGAAGTGTCCGTGGCCAAGTGGACGGGTCGAAATTTATGGATGGTGGTCAATCCCTTCTTCAGGATCTCGTCGCGTCGCGACGGAAAGAGAGGACGAGAGGCCGCGGACATAAGTGTAGCGTGGAGAGGTGGTGTCGAGCCCCTCCTTCTAATAAAAGCCGCTCACTAAGCGCCGCTACACAGACAGTAACAGAAAGCTCCGAAGAGAACGTAGGGGCCGCCGAGAGCTCCTTCAGGGCACTGCGACGACACATACACACACACACACACGTACACGTACACGTATATACATATATATATATATAACTTATTATTTTTCCTCCACGAAAACTTCACCATCGGTTTGATCTGAGCGACGAGAAGAGCAACGAGTGCGACGGATATAATACCTGTGTGTGGTGAGTTCTCCCGAGTACGTCCTGCTACTTTGTAACTCGTCCGTCGCATTTTGTGAATCGCGCCCTGGCTTCTCCTCAGTGTCTCGTGGTTCAATCCGACGACCACGTGGCCGGATAGTGACAAGTGGAACGGACGTTCGCGAGTTTCGCGTGTTCGCGAGCACCGAGAGGACCGGAGAGAGGCGATTTTCCGCATGAACAATTGCTTCTCGACGATCGATCTCGGCCGATTTGACTGAGAGTTTCGGCAATTTCATCTGCGCGCGCCACGCGCTGCGCCGACAGGAAGTCGGCGAAGTGAAAATCTTCTCGAAGCGAGTCTTACCAGAATGACAAGTTTCAGGTGGAAATCGGAACTTGCAATGACCGTCGTGCGAGCTTAATTCACGTACGTGCCTAGAGGAAAGTCCTCTCTCGCGGAGGAAACATCTTCGGGAAAATCTTGATCTTCGCGTTTGACTTTCCTGTCAACTGTTTTTTATTATCTCGATATTTCTTCATGTTGTTCAAACGACCGACGTCAATGTCTCATTTCTGCAGTCTGAATTCGAATTATTCGCATTGAATTGTTTCTTCAAGCAAATCTCTCTCCCAGAACGACAAATTTTTGCTCGCCTGTCAAGGAGATGTAAAACATTTTTGGTAAAAATGTAATATGTTTTACGTTTTTCTTTCTTTTTCACAAAAAAAAATGTAAAATTCTTTTCAAAATTTTCGCTTTTTTGCACATATTTTTCATTTTTGCAGAATGTAATATATTTCGTTTTCCAAAGGAAATGCAAAATTCGCGTCACATTTCTCACAAAAATGTAATAACACATTTCATGTTACATTCTACGTTTTTAAAATATTTACATATTTCACATTTTTCCGAGGAATCAAAAATATTCTTCGGCCGCAGTTGCGAGGTAAAAATCGTGATAATCGCGCGACGATTTCCGGCGAGTTGAAATCGGAAATCGAGTAACGAGGAGATCGATCGACAAGCGACCTCGGAGATACGATGTTGCAATATCGTCCCTGGACAGGAGGACGATGTGCACTGAATCTCTATCACCCTAAGGTCTATTATCGCCATACGCGGTCATCGGCATGCCGAATGCACGCGTAGCGGCTCGCGCACGTGGCATATATATCGGCGAACTTTTTTTTATCACACGCACATCGACGGCATTAATCGGCCAAGAAAGCGGTCACTTTGTTGGCGGCCAATTAAAAGCGCCAAAGAGACGCTCATCATCGAATTTTCCAATCGCTCTTCATCAGCACCGACCACCTGCAAAGTTCGCGCCAAAATTCGTCCGATGCTAGCTCATGCCGAGGACAATGCAGAGCGGATTTCAGCGCGGGGAAAATTCATCCCGTCGGCACGGCTGAACAATCGAAGCGCCACGCGGATGTTTCCGTTAAAATCGCGATTAATTGCGAAGCGTGCGTTATCGCGCCTGCCTTTCCTCCCGCGCTTGAAACATTCTCCACTTTCATTCCGTCGAAAGTGATAGTCTCGAACGGATCCATGCTCGAGAAAGGAGAGTCATTGGGCTTCTCCCTCTCTCTCATTCTCTCCGTCTCTCTCTCTCTCTCTCTCTCTCTCTCTCTCTCTCTTTCTCTCTCTCTCTCTCTCGCTTCGGGCTCCCTCTCTCTTTATCTCTCGCGGGCGCCTCTCCGCGGTCGGCCACCTCTTCATCTCCCGGCGATCGTCTCGCGAGACGATTTCCGGCTCGCACGGCCGACCTGTAGACTGCAGCTTCGTGTGTCAAGGTGCACGCGAGAGAGGCGCCGAACAATACCTGGTGAGCAGCGTCTGGGGACAAATGGGGATCACGGCCGTGAAAAGTCTCTCACTCTCATTTAGTCCCTCATTAGAGAGGCGACGCATTGTCCGGGCATATATTTATTTTCATCAGCTTTTCCCTCTCTTTCTCTCTCTCTCTCTCTCTCTCTCTCTCTCTCTCTCTCTCTCTCTCTCTCTCTCTCTCTCTCTCTTTCTCTTTTTCTCTCTCTCGAGAAGGCTATTCTCCCGGACACAATCCAGGGAACGTTCGTAATGGTTCTCGCGGCATCGCAGCCGCCGCTCAACGCGGTTTCGATGCGAATTCACGAGGAATGTCCACAGGAAGCGACTGCGTTCGACGCGAGAACTCGTTTGCGAGAGCGGCCTAAATTATCGCGCGCATTGTGATGAAAATTCGCGACACCTGGGTACGCGCGAATGCACGTTACACGCAAAGTCCGGCTTGGGAAAGTGACTTTCGAGGAGCGACGTTTTAGCGCTGCCGTTACTCGTTATCATCATCGTTACTATTCGAGAATCGTCGAAACTCCGTCGCTTTTTGGCCGGGTCTTAAACGTCCCTTTTTTCAAGCTTCGCTTCCGCGCACTCCACGCATACGCGTGTAATCTACGGAAAGTTACGATGAAAGTAACGATTGCGTTTTGCCGCAGTTGGCGTTTACCGACGCAAGGAAGAAGTGTATCTTCCACATCTTACGTTTTCCTCAGAGAAATCTGAAATCTAAAACACTTATATTCACAGTATATCTTACCTTTCCTCCAGACACGCGCGATACTTCGCGATTACCGGCGAGCGTTATAATTTGAATAATTTAATTTTAGTCGGCCGATGAAGTTAGAAATGAAACTCGGGGGGAGGGAGAAGCGAGCAGGTTATGCGCCGCGTCGTCGCGCGCTGAAAGAAAGTGCCTGGTGACGGTAACGGTTACAAGTGACGCGTTACTCACTCCCTCCCCCCCTTCCCTCCTGCGGAAGATACACGCGTTCCAAATGTCTACGTAAATATGTAAATGCGCTGTTGTTGTTTTCGCAGAGTCTCGTCCCACTCCCGAGCAAGATGAGGTGCGTTATCCCGGCGCTCGCGGCCGCGCTTTGTCTCGCATTGGTGAGCTCACATCCGCTTCCGGAAGACGGGCTTCGATCGGAGGTAAGCATACACACGCGAGAGGCGCGCATCATCCTCGCGTGCCTTTCTCTTTTAACGCCGCCGTCTCGCGCCGCGTTCTCGCAGACGTCCGATCCGGACGTCCGGAGGAATCAACCTAGTCCGCGCTCCTCCGGCTCCTTCGACTCTACCTGGCCGTTCGCTCCGCTTAGTCGCCTAACACGAATTCTGCACGAACGCCACGCTGCACATTAACCGGCCAAGGCCGAGCTTTTCGCGGCCGCTCCTTCGGGCGCCGAAAATGGCGGCCTGGCCGTCTCATCATCCGCGATCAATCGGCGGCGCGCCGATTAGGCGCCGCTCGGTTTTCGCGGGAAAATTACGCAATGACGATTACGGTGACTTTCACCGTGTCACTGGGTCGTGATATCGGCATTTTTCACCGGCTGAAATCCTATCCACGTTTCTCGCCGGGGAGAGAAAGTCCGATTTGCATTGCGAGAATCGCCGAGGATTCCTCGATAGGCGCGCGGTGCCATGCTCTGAGACACGTGGGAATTACGAGCGGTTATTAATCATCGCGCCGTTATTTTAGATAGATACACACAGACATGGCCGACTGCTCGGCGCGGGGTGATCGCCTCTCGATCGCGAAAGTCGAGTCGCGGCGCGCGAGCCGGCCGATCGGAAAGCATTCGCTCTACCGAATCGATCGATTCGGTGGCCGCGGATGAGGTGTTTCACTTTCGACTTGATTCTATCTACCTGTCGAAGTCTACCTGTTCGTCTTTCTCCTTCTTTTTCTCACTCACAAACGCGGCATAGAGCCAATTCAACAGTCGCGATCGGGCCTTTACGGTAGCACCGCGTTTGCGGTTTATGGCACCGTAAATAAGCGTCTGTTTATCCAACAATGTGATACTTGGAAACGTCGCCGGCTAATCTCAAGTCTCTCTTCGCCTATCGCGTCGGGCAGTATATTTTATTGCTGCAATTTTATTGTTACGCTCTTTAGCCGACACCCTTTAGCGCGGACTGATACAGCGGTTTGCTGCTGATGGGCGAAGTTTTACGCGGAGGTTTTTCATTGAACGAAGCTCGTCCAATTCGTATGAATCAGGCTGATGTGAGAGAAAAGTACGAATTGTTACATAGTTATGTATTGGGAGTGTACGAGTAGAGTCAAATATTCGCGATGATGCCGCTAATTCCAAGTTTCGAAGCGCTGAATTGTTCGAGCTTTTAAGCTCGCTTCAACCTCGAACGTCGAATTACACTCGTATATTAAAATTTCGAGGCTTCGAGTGTATTAAAAATAACATTACCTCTCTAAAATTTACGATATTGCCGTTTTTATCACTTTCTTCTTCTCATCATTTTTCTTATCAGTTTCAGAGCTTGCATATTTCGAATCTTCGAGTAGAGCACGAATATTCGAAATTTTAAAGCGCTGCCCCAACAGAAATTTATTATTGGCTGTAATAAGTTTGCCAGTGATAATAAGTAATTTTATCACTACGAGTAACTTTATTACTTACAAGAGTAATAAGATTACTTATTATCACTGGCCAATTTATTACAGCCGGTAGTAAATTTCTGTAAGGGTGAATTGTTCGAACTTTTAAACTCGCTTCAATCTCGAACGTCGAATTATACTCGTATATTAAAATCTCGAGGCTTCGAGTGTATTAAAAATAACACTATCTCTCTCAAATTTACGATATTGTGGTTCTCATTAGTTTCTACTTCCCTATTAGAGAAATATTACTGACAATGATAAATTGGCCAGTAATGATCATCATCATTAAAGCTCAGTGGTTTTATTGCTTGTACGAGTAATTTAGTAAAATTACGCCGATGGTTTACCACTGGTCAATTTATCACTGTCAGTAACACTTTTCTGCTAAGGCCGTGTATAAACAATATCTTATCTCAGGATACTATTTGTTTATTTATTTATTTTTATTTGCTTACTGCCGAGAATCATCTTTTTGGTTGCAATACATTAAATATAAATACAATCCCTCAACAGGAATTTATTATTGGCTGTAATAAATTGATAAAATAACTAATTGTATTATTATATATAATAAATTAGCCAATGACAATAAGTAATTTTATTACTCATACGAGTAATAAATCAATTCACCTTTACAGAAATTTGTAACTGGCTGTAATAAATTGGCCAGTGATAAATAATTTTATTATTCATATAAGCAATAAAATTATTCGTTTGAATAATAAAATTACTCGTGTAAGTAATAAAATTATTCGTGTAAGTAATAAAATTTACTTATTATCACTGGTCAATTTATTACAGCCAGTAATACATTTCTGTAAGGGTAAAGAAAAGAAGTAAAGAGAAGTAACCAAGAAGAAAATGCAGAAGGTGGAGCAAAGAAGGAAGAAAAGAGATAAGAAAAAGAGATCTAGGCGAGTTACTTAACCTATTACCTGATCGACGATGAAAAAATAAAAGTATCGGCTGCTGCGTTGCCGTCGATCGCGGCGTAAAATGACTTTGAACGTGGTTCGTGGCCAATATCAGAAGACATTTTATCAACAAAAGAGAGACCTCAAAGCAACGGTCTTTGCTTGACTCCCACGACTCTCGCGTTTATTTGGAAACATTCTACTCGCCTTGGAGTGACTTTTCGTGAAAAAGTGCCGGAGCGGGGGCGCAACGTATGGAAAGACCGCCACGTCATTGCGTGACTTGGCCGGCCGCCGTGGCCGCTCGGAAGCTCGCTCTTTCTACGGCCGTAGTCTGAGCTTGGCATTTTTACCGTGTCCCGCTTATAATTACAGCTGCTCACATAACCGAGTTGCTACAGTTCGCGACCGTGTAGCATAATATGAGCGCGAGCGCGCAGCGGAAGAGCGCGGCCGGACGCGCAGAGGACGCCATGACAGTTACATGACAGCGCCGCATGAAGGGAGTTGTTATTCGTACGGAAAGAGCGTTTCGCGCATAATGCCGGGCTGCGTGCGCCCACGTCGAGAGGCCGATGTTTAGGTAATGTCGGCCGTAAAATAAACGGTGTAACCGTCAAAGTATATGGTCCGACGAAAAGCCGGCTCGTCCGACCGGCTCTCGTCTTCGCTCCGACACTTTCACTGGCCGCGAGCACACCGTCCGAACAGTTACCGGACACTTTCTTCGGCCGACAGGCGCCCAATGGAAAGCTGATGCGTACGCGTATCGTAACGTTACGATGTAATCCGCGGAACACGGTGTATAAACAAACAGAGCCGCGCCGGTTAAGCTGCGCGCCGATATCTCGCGCAGAAGATGGACGTAGAACGCGAATTGAAAATGCTGGCTTTATGAGATACGCGAGATCGGAAATAAAATTGCAGAGGCCTAGACGTATCTCGACAAGGTCAAAGAGAGCGCGCGATGAGAGAAATTATCCGTCGAAACGCGAGAGGCGGTCGGGCACGACGAGATATTGAATGATTGTGAGTCGGAAATGTTGCGATATAAGTGATTCATTCATTCGTCTATTTCTGTGATCTCCATTGGGAGGGACAATTTATTCATTGCATATTTGAAATCTCTATCGTTCATCGGAACGTTTATGATTGTTGAATGTCTCATCGCGTCGGATAATTTATTTATATTTGTGATAGATCCATCTTCATCTTTCGTCAAGGTTTCTCACAGGCTTTTGCGATTATATTGTTGATGAGTATTCACGAACGATGGCTGCGGATTCGTTGAAATTGGCTGAAATGCAGAAAGACGGCATCCAGTAAGAAGTCGTGCTGATAATCTGTCTCTCTCTCTCTCTCTCTCTCTCTCTCTCTCTTTCTCGCAAGAAAGAAACAGATTCCTGCAAGACAGAGCAGACTATCAGCGCGATTTCTTACCGGATGCTACCATTCTGCTTTCTGCTTTTCTGCTAAGGTGTAAATCCACCCTAAGGAAGTGACATTGAGAAAGTGAAACCCAACAGACGCGCGATATGCAGCCGACTTATTTATGGTTTGGAGAATAATCCGTTGAGCATCAAGCGATGAGAATCAGTATTGGCTAGCGATTGATTGAAATTTTGATTCACAAAATGATGAAAGTCGACGTCGAGTAAATTGTAATTACACACAATGAGTGCTTCGCTCGGTAACTTTTATCTGATTGATCACACGCTGATTAATAGTTCATCTGTCGATTAACTTACTCATAATTACATACACAGGATGTTTAAAAATAGGGTTCAGGGATTTAAAAGCAGATAGTATTCATAAAATGGAGGAAGAAAATCATATAAACATGGGCCAAAAAATTAATATTGTCAGAGTTATGAGAATTATTAGGTTGTAAAGAAAGTGATTGCCGATTTCACATATAGATGTCGTATTTTTTAGTAACAAGCTTCACTCTAAACCGCAAAATTATTTTAGAAATTGATAACTGACATCTTAAACATTATTTAGAAATAAAAAGTGCGCGAATCGAGTCATTGTTTTGAAGATGAAAATTCCAGAGGAGCATTTTCGCCATATTTTACTTTATTATTTCCGTAAAAGAAAAAACGCATATGAAAAGTTATATGATATATTGTGTGGGGAGGCTGCTTTAAAAGAACGACAGTGTCGAAATTGGTTTGCAAGGTTTCGTTCTGGAGATTTTAAGGTGGAAAATGCATCAGATTCAAAAAGATTCAAAAAGACCAACCAAAATTGATGAAGACAAACTAAAGGCATTGATCGAAGCAAGTCGTCGTTCCACCGCTCGAGAAATCGCAGAGGCATTAAATACGTCATATACAAATGTTGCAATCCATTTAAAAAAATGTGGCTTCATTCAAATACTCGATATTTGGGTGCCACTTGGATTGAAAGAAATTCGTCTCACACACAACATATGGACATCTGCGATTCACTGAAACGTGAGGAAAGCGATCCATTTTGGAAACGCATGATAACCAGCGATAAGAAGTGGATCATCTACCAATCAATAATGTTCAACGAAAACGATCATAGTCGAGGCAAAGTGAACTAGCTCAATCGATGTCGAAAGCAGATATTTATTAAAAAAG